CAGGAATGCAGAAAATTCACAAATGTGTGTTTATATGTTTTTATTGAATTGTTTTATATATACATTATTTTAAACATTGTTTTAATGTTGAAATATTTTAATGTTTTGATGATTGCCACCTTTGGAACCTTCGGGGGATAACACTGGGGCGGCTTCTGGAGTTCTGGCCCCACTGGTGGGCCTCCTGATGGAACCTGAGCTTTGGCCACTGTGTGACACAGAGTGTTGGACTGAATGGGCCACTGGCCTGATCCAACATAGCTTCTCTTATGTTCTTAAGTGACCGTTGTATAAGGTAGTGCCTATGACCTTTCTTGAAAATCATGAATTAAGGAGAATGTTTACCCTCATGAGATGGGATACACTCCCTTCAGTGGTTACAGAGGGGAGGTTTAATACAAAACCCTTTGCTGATTGTATATGTTGCTGCTGCAATGACAGAATTGAAACTTTAATGCACATATATGACTTCAGGGCATATAGCCACTTTTGTGATATTCTCCCACTCTCTACAACTATTCTATCCTCTACTAGTCAAAAGATGCAATTACTGAAGAACAGGGGTCGGCACCCTGAGGTTACAGCTAAACTTGCCAGATTTGGCTGGTTAGCTGTAAGGACTGGAAAGCTGCTAGTGAAAGGCGAACAGATGTAATTTGTTATAGGATTAACATTTACTTGCATGCGCTATTTGATATTTTCATTTTATATATCTCATTTATGCCAGTGGTTTTATGAATTCTGACAAATTTAGTTCGACTACTGTATTAGAGCACTGGCTTTTTGCTGTGAATAAATTTGTTTTGTGATAGGTTCTTAAGTGTGGGGCAGTGATGCTCCGTATTCTTGGTACTTGGGGGACAACAGCGGGAGGGCTTCTGGAGTTCTGGCCCCACTGGTGGACCTCCTGATGGCCCCTGGGTTTTGGCCACTCCTACTTTTGAAGGTTTCTGAAGCATCACAAAACCCCACAGGTTTGTTTGACAAGAGTCAGGCAACAGCAAACCACATCTGACCGTCTCTTGCCTTGAAAACCCTATGGGGTTGCCTCAAGGCAGCTGTCACCTGACGGCAAAAAACCAGAAACGGTTTGACCAATCACAACCAGTCCCTATATGGACCTACCCCTACACTCTGGTCATCTTCGGAGGCCCTGCTTTGGTTCTCCCTCCCCCCCGGGCATCTGAAGCTACACGGGTGGCAACCCAAGAAAGGGCTTTTTTGGTCATGACACCAAAACTTTAGAACTCCTTCCCTGGGGAGATTCATCTGCCTCCCTCTGTCAGTGCCTTCCGCTAGCAGGTGAAGACTGGCTTAGCCCTAATAATGGTCACTGGGCCTCCTCCTAGTGTTGTTTATGTGTTTTTAATTGAATCATTTAATAATCTGAACTGTTTTTTACATTGCTTACATGTTTTAATTTTTTCTTGTTTGCTGCCTTGTGGACCCTGATGGGATCGAAAAGCAGCATAAAAATATTTTAATTAATTAATCGGTTAACAAAATAGTGTCCGCAACATTACCAATAACATTTTATCATTTTGTTTTCAGCTCTCTGAAAAAAATGATGTTGGTGCTGTAATTGCATTTATGTACTGTACACTTTAGATGAATTACTTCCAGCTCAGGTGAAACGCTGGCTTTATGACTGCCAGACATGCCAGTGGAGTTGGGGGTCCCCTGCCACCAGGTCCCACTGCCCTACCTCCATTCAGCTGGCTGGCGGGGGGCGGGGAACCCTGAAAAAGAGCAAGGCCCAGTTGATGTTGCAGCGAAGTGTATACACCACTTCTGATGTGACCTGGAAGTGACATCATTACATCAGGAAACCACTCTGGTATTTGGGCAAAACTATGGTAGAAGCAAAATTTACCATAGAGACTTTGCCCAAATACCAGAGCATCATCCTGACATCCTGACATCACTGCTTGATGACATCACTTCCAGGTCATGCCAAAAGTGACGTAGACAAATCACTGCAGCGTTGGCTGGGCCTCCCTCCCACTCCTGGTAAGTCTTCCCCCATTCCCTGCAACCCTATCTGGTTTGACAATAAATAATGGCAAAAATACAGTTTTGCTATGAACTAAAAGGAGTGGAAGCTTCAGAAAAGTTCAGTTTCCTTAAAAAAGAAAATAGAGTTAGTAAAAAAGAAAACTGAGTATGCAAGAAGAAGGTCAAGCAATGAAGCCAAAACAGTGAATTATTAAAGTTTACCTGGGAATAACCAACTATTTCTCCATTTTCATCCAATACGTTAAAATTAATGATTGGACCTTGGAAGTCTGCGCTGCTGAAGTCCGTATCACTGTAAATGCGTACTACGGGTGCCCCGTTGGCATACTTCAGTGTGGAGAGGACTGTGTAAGTGTAGTGAGCTAAAGCAAACGTGTGCTGTTTTATGTTCTCCATTCCACCTACAGAAGAAGAAAAAAATCCAACAATCAACTTCTTGTTTCTATTCTGAACTATATCTTTTAAAGCAATACCACTGGGACATGAAAGCATTTCCCTGAAATCAAATCACTTTTCATTGTTCTATTTAAACAGCTCTTTCAGAAAAGGTTTCAGCAGCTTTTCACCAGGAAGGAGCAGAGCGGTGCAAATACAGATTTGTAAACAGAGTGGCCCTGAATTTCTCCAGAGCAGGAGTCCACCACTGGCCCCTAGATGGCAGCATGGGATTCCTGAGTGGCAGGTACTGGAGTCAAATGACACCACACTCCCAGGGCATTAGGTGCACGATGTTGAGCATTTCTACATCTTTTAAACAACAGAAACAAGAAAAGAAGGGGGCTAACATGGTTGTATCTTTTGCTCCCTGAATTCTCCTTGCTCTTGTTTGATCAGGCTTTGCTATCTCTTACCTTTCACAATCTCTTCCCTGTCATGTCTCCAGTTTCCTTTGTTTCCTTACTCTCTCTTTGTCTTCTACCTTATTTTATTCCCATTTACAGTCCTCCCTTTCGCTCTCCCTGTGTCTCCTCTTGCTTTTCTTACACTGTCAAAGCCATCCCCGCCTTCTCCAACTTCGGTAAGGAATGCAGACACTTACTCCACAGGTAAAAATTTGGGATGAATATGAATCAATACATACGACAGAGTGCATCAGGTTTGTGCATGACGGGGGGGGGGGGAGAGATAAATGTTTTAAAGACAACATTTATTCAATATCAGTGGTGGTTTCTAAATCAGCATAAGCCAGAAAGGACAAGTCAACTCCTAAAGTTGCTTTCATTTAAAATGTGTTGGTTTTGGGAAAACAACATAGAAGGCGTGATAGAGGAGGAAAAGGCAAGGCCGGGAGAATAAGAAAGAAATGTGAGGAGACACCGTTACACTGATCTTGGGCATCTTTACTCAGAACCAAGCCCTGTGGAGTTTAATGGGGCTTACTCCCGATCGCACACGCACAGGATCGCAGCCTTATGGATCAGGACTTGGCAGGCTACCTGAGGGTTAGCACAGGGCACCCCAATTCCTGCAAAAACTCTTTTGCCTTCTCTTTCCTCTCACCTAGCACACACGCAACTGCTCAGTGCCCCCCACCCATACTTGCAGTGTGGAACCTGGAAAAGATCATCTTTCTTAGATGGAGGGGACCCCACATCACAAGCACTGGAGGCCTGAGAGGTAGAGATGGGGAGTGGCAAAGAGAAAAAAAGAGAAGGCGAAGGAGAGCGAGAGGGATGCTTTGTGACATAAGCATGTGCCTACTCTAACTAGCTAGGATGGATGGAGGTGCAGGAAGCATGTTCTGTTCTTGCGGTAGCAAGATGGAGAAAGAGGGTGAGAGAGAAGGTGGCCAGAAGATAGCATCAGAGAAGAAGAAAGGAAGGGGTACACATCTCTCTGGCTCTCTATGGTCCCCCTCTGAAATCTAAGGCTAAGAGACAGCACTGAGTAATTCACTTCCAAGAAGAACATAAGAAGACCACTGCTGGGCAACCACTTGCCCTGAAGCATCAACAAATGGTATTCCCATTAAAATGCATTGTTCACATTGTCGTTCAGCAAAACACAGCCCAGTACTACTAGTACATCATACTCAGCAACGAAACCTTGCAATGGTAATTGGGTGAAAGGGGGGGAAAGCCAGGACAGGTTTCCTGACACATCTCCCACACAAGAACAGTCTTCCCTGCATGCACTCAAAAGAGCGGGCTCCAAATCAGTCTTCTGAATTTGAATCTCTTTTGGAACATGCCAAAATCTCCCCAGGCTTACTTGCGTATTCTTTACAATGGGTATTCAAGCTTGTAAGAAGAGCATAATTTATAACAGCAAATGCAGAGAAGCCAAAGTTTTAACCTTTTCCATGGAAATCTGATATTGATTCAAATGGAGAAAACAAGTTCATTTTCATCAGCCTCTCCCCCTCAACCTAAAAGCCACAGCCTGCAGTGCGACTGATTAAGCCACTGACAGTGATGCTCTTGCAATCTACCCATCTATTCTCATCCTTCATGTCCCCCTTTCCATGGGAACCCATGGCCTAAACGTTATCGGGTACTACTTGTAGATCTTTATTCCCTTTTATGTATATTGTTTTCCTAATGCAACACTTGGAAATGACTATATGCCTCTTTAAAAGCCTTACAAGTTGAAATCTTAATGTCCATTTACTAGGGATGGGCACAAAAATTAAAAAAGGCAGTTTGGGGTGGCCCCTGAACCAAACCCTTAATTAAATGGAACGGGCCCCAAACGAACTGAACTGGTGCGATGGGGATCGCCTTGGAAGGGACTTCCCTTCTACCTTTCTCCTAGCCACAGGGTGGAGATTGCCTGGGAAGAGGGCTTCATTAATCCTTCAGTTTTGCTCCCCCTCCCTTTGAATCAGCAGGGTGCAAAGCCAAAGTCCAGTAAATGAGAAATGCGCCTTCTCCAAACAGAGCTCTCAAGATCCAAACTGGTTTAAGTTCAACCAGAATTTTGGCGTGTGAGCCAGTTTGTGCCCATTCCTACCAGTTACTCTACCGGGAGTCCAATTGTCCCTTTCCTCTTCTTTTTTTGGGGAGTATCTCTCTGTGTGTGCATGCGTGCGCACACATGCCTAGAAGTCATGGTTCACTTCTGGCAACCCCTAGAGAGGTGGCTTGATAGTGCCTGTCTCTGCATCCTAGCCCTGGTATTCCTTGGAGGTTTCCCATCCAAGTGCTTGCCAGGGTCAGCCCTGCTTAGCTTCCAAGGTCTGACAAGATCAGGCTTGCCTGGGCTATCCAGGTCAGGCTTCTCTTCTTTAACAGTTCTGCTGGTCTTTCAGCAGACCTCTAGAAAGCTGAGGGGAAGGGGAAGGTAATACAACACTGTTTGGGAAACCTATAAACCCAGGGGTCCTCAGCTTTTTTGAGCCTGCAGGCACTTTTGGTGTTCTGACACAGCATGGTGATCGCAACCACAAAATGGCTGCCATGTCTTACTTAATGTCACATAAGAACATAAGAACATAAGAGACGCCAATGTTGGGTCAGGCCAAAGGCCCATCCAGTCCAACACTCTGTGTCACACAGTGGCCAGAAATACCAGTGCCATCAGGAGGTCC